TTTTTGAATATCTAATAATTATTATTAAAAATTAAGAAAAATCTAATCATTATTAAAAACTTTCTATATTATTTAATTTATAATATGATTAATTTTTTAGATGCAAAAAGTTTCGGCTTCATATATTTCAATATTAATGACAATATATTAAAAAAAACAATTACATTATATCATTGAATTTAGGCGTGTATCTAATATATATTATAAAGAGTAATATTAAATAAATAAAGATATAATTTTAAAATATCTATTAATTATTGAAAATTTTTTTAAAATTTATCTTTAAAATTTCTATAATTTAAAATATCGCTAAATTATTTATTTAATGAAATTTTTAAATATCATATTTTAATATCTCAATATCCTATTTTAATATTTCAAGGTAAATATCACATATTGCATTCAATATACAATTAGACTGAAATTATAAGAATTATAATTATAAAAAAATTAAAGAAAATTGTAATTGCAAACAAGAATATATTCTGTTATTGCTATAATTATAAATGAAAAAGATTATTTTTCTTTCTTAAAATAAAACAATTATTGATAATAACTTTTTTATTACAAGTCTTTACATTTTTTGCTTAGAAATTATTTGTGTAATAATATTTAAATAATTTTATTTAATTGATAACTACATTAAGAAGAATTAGGATACAGTGGGTATTTAAATATGCAACTATTAAATTCAATTAATCTTTAAACATTCAAGATATATTTTATTTAATCTGCGACTATTGTGATATTATTCAAGAAAAACTTTAATTATTTTTTGGTTTAGATTTACTATTCACAAAAACTGCAAAAATAATTAATTAAGGAATAAAATTTTTCTAATGAAATAGACCTTTTTAATAAGGAAAATATCTAGTGAAATTATTAAAAATTAATTTTTTTTAAAAATTAATTTTTTTAATAAAAAAGCAAAATAATTTGACACATAGTGATAATAATGATACTTAATAATGGCGGTCATCTTTCTTGTTGTTTAATATATAATGCAATTAATCAACGGAATTGCAAAGCATTATTAAATACTATTGTCTTCGCTATATGTTTTGTCAAATTATATTATTTTTATACATAATATGTAGACTATTATATGAAACTTAAAATATTTTAGTATTTTTTTTTTATTTTTTGCGACAAACTAATTATCTGAATGAAAGAATTTTAAATTATTTATTTTTCAATGATTTTATTAATTATATCATTGTAGAAATTAATCTTTGTATAAAAATATTGTAATTATGTAAAAAATAAATAAATATATTTACAATATAATCCGACTAGTACGTCAGTCGCTATAAATGAAATTATTCTATTGAATTTCTACGATGTATTTCAATATTTCTCAATTGAAGATAGAAAGCAAGATATCAAAAATTTTAAAGTAATTTAAGCAAAATCTTTCAATCAAACTTTGTAAGATTGATATAACTATAAAAAAGAAAAAAAAAATTGTAAAAGAGGGGACAAATGATAGCTAATCAGTGATAGCTATTATCGATACATTTAACTTAATTTAACTTGGTTGAATATTATGTTGGATAATGACATTAAGATAATAGATATTGATCATAATAAGAACTATTGCTTATAGACGTTGTTGAATGCTAATATACTATTCGAAGAAACATTTATCAATCTAGAACAGATTTAAATATATACGTGTTTTTAAAGAAAAATTTTTTTTTAAATTGTATATAAGATAGTAGAAATTATAATGTCACTTAAAACTACAATTATCTGTCCTATAGAAGTTTGTCTTCGTTTAATCAGCATTTGGCCATATTCTTCGTATAAAATTGTACATCGTGTTTTTTGGATAATCATGATGGGTATCTCCACAGTATTTCAATTTTGGTTTTGTATTTCTTATTTTAAAACAGCAGATTTACCTGATCTGTTAAATAGCACTGTGACTTTGTCAAACACAATTACGTTCATTAAATTGATTATTCTTTAGTAATAATCTTTTAATTATCGATAAGATATATGTATATCTATGTAAAATTATATATATTATTATAAATATGATTAATTATCATCTTTAATCATAAAATGGTAGTTAATGATGCAAATTAACGATGTAAAGATAAAAATTGTTTAGCTATTAATTTTTGTATATTAGTTATTTAATTTATTATTATATTTATTTTTTATTATGCAATTTTATTATTTTTATTTATTTCACTTATTATAATTATTTTTCAATTTATAAATTAATACTTATTCAATATTTATCAATACATTTTTTTTTAAATTTTTATATATTGAGATTTTACTTTCATATTTATAAAACATTTTAATAAATGTTATTAATTGTTAATGATTGTAAAAATTATTTTATATAGCACATTTCATAATATATTAATAATCATATTTGAGGATTGGAATAATCCTACTCTTACTTATCAAAAAAAACAGATTATGATAGACAATACCTATTTGTGCTCTCGTATTTCAAATTTTTTATTTGACATTTATTCGATGACACATTTCTTATTTCTATATTCTATATTCGGCAAATACTATGTTGATTTTCGATGCTGATGCTAATAATAATATACTAATAATCAATTGATTTTGAACAATATATTGCTTAAAATGAAGTTTCCCTTCGATTTCACGATTTTTCCACTTTATGAATTCATTATAATTGCACAATTTGTATTTGAATATTCTGTAGCTTTCACGGGCGAGGGGGGGGGGGTTATTTTCTGCTATTAGTAAGTTAATTATTTTTAATTTTCATTTATCATTATTATAACTATCATTTTGTACAATCAAAAAATTATACAAAACAAATTGATTATTTTTATTTCGATGAATATGATCATTTGTAATAATAAATTTTTATGTACAAAATATTCCAAAAATCAACCAACAAATTTCAACTGATGATTTTCTGGAATGATATCAAACAATTTTTTTATTTATAAAAATTTTCGTTTTAATATTATTAAAAAATTTATTAAATTTTTTAAAGAAAAATAATGGCCAATCATAGAATGCATAATTTGAACAATCGTTGAAGAATCCAACTATTAATCAAATATACATATATATTCAACATTACAATTACGGCGCGACAAGTCTACATATTTTATGATTGATTAATACATTTCATTAATAACTCGTTAAAAAAGTTGAAACGAAAATTTTCGCAAAAAAAATTGTTTAAAATTATAGAAAAATCAATTAAGTCTATCAGTTGACTTTTAATTTTTAATTTTAATATTTTGTTATAATCTATATCAATATTTCTCAACCAATATATTACGATAAACTAATGTCTTTAGAATATCTATAATATGCAAAAATTTTATGAAAACTTTATTGAATATAAGGATATTTAATATTTGTTAATATAATGTTAATAAATATAATTATATATACTCATTTAAGAAAGTGAAAATTTTAAAAATTTCACTGTTGACAAAACAATACGCTATTAACTTAACAATAAACATATATACATAAGATTTAAATTGTGAAAATACTGTTATAATTATTCTAAGATATTAAATATCAAGATATATATGTAAATTTTTTTTTAATAAGATATCACTGAAGAAATATTTTTTTAATATTTTTAGTATTTATATTTTTTTAATTTTTAATATTTTGTTTCCTAAAATATAATATCGTAATTATACAGATAGAACAACTTTAAATATATAAATTATTTAAATTTAAACTTTACTTTATTATTCAATTGTAAATAATATTGTATTAACAAAATTAAGTTAAAAATTATTAAATAAAATTGTATTAAAAAAATAAAAAAGTTCTAAAATTTGGTAGATTTCAATGTCAATTTTTGAACAAAATTTTTCATAAAAAAAAATATTTTACTTATAACGTATTATATTCTACTTTCTCTACATATATATAAATTTTTATTAAGAACAGAATTTTTAATTAGAATAAATTTTTTTATAATATAGTGTTCGAATATTTTCATGAGTACTTAGTATATGTAAATAATTAATAATACAATTGAAAATTGTAATTCATAGATTACAATTTTCATATGATTATATAATATATACGATTAATGTAATAATAAAAAATTCTTATTATATTTTAAATGTGCAGATATGTTATATTATAAATAATTTTATATTTTATTTTATATTTAATACATATTATATTTTTTTTTAAATAATAAACTATAACAGATATATTATCATTAAATAAATAAATAAAAATTTTCATCACAATAATGAATTGGGAAATATTGCGATCTATACATTGCGAATATCTCACAAAAACAATATTTATTATTATTTATTTTCAAATCTTATAAATTCATTCAATGATTTATATAATTAGCATAATTAGTGATAAATTAAATGAAAATACTAAAATT